TCAGCCTGGTGCCAGACGCTAAGAATGGCTTTACCGAACAAAAAGGAGAAGCGGCGCAAGTGAAGTTAGAAACTGTCATCGGACAACATTCAGTAATTTATAAATGTTTTAAATCAGTCCGGATTCGCCAGCAGGTGGATCCGAACCCCGGTCCCCTAATCCGTGACCTCTGGAGCAGAGACTGGATTCTGTAGGAACCGTACCCCCACCCAACCATTTCATATTCTATGACGAAATACACCTTCCAACAGCTTAAACCAGGGTTTATCGAATGCTAAACTTGGAGATGTTGAACTTGAAAGCACTGAAGTCAGATTCTCCCCTGACAAAGTCCAACAGTAACGCTGGTCCAGTACAGATGAGAGCAAGCATTAAACCTTCACCTTTTTCTGACGGAGGACTTGGGGCCGGCGATGATGCTGATGATGAAGGGGAAGGTTCAGGAGGAATGTTGGCCACTCCTCTCATCCTCTGGAGTACATCCTCTGACAACTGATGGAAGAAGAAGAAGAAATTTAAGAAACAAACATGGATGCCACAGTGAACTGAGTCTCCAAAAACTCCTCCATGTCTCTTATAGTGAACAATCCAGGTTATCTCATTTGGTTTTGGTTTTATTGAATTAAAGGAAATCACAATAACTTTAACCAAAAAAAAACTTAAAGTTAGACTGTATTAGCATCAAAGAGTAAAAGTTAAACTGCTGCCCACAGAGGGAAGCACCAGTCAGTGACTCACCCTTTCTATGACTCATTGCATCTGAATGTACAGCCGGAGCCGACATCCACAGCTATAGCTTTGACTTGTTAGCTCCTGATAGACAAACTGCGACAATCACAGAACTTTATCGATGAAATCTTTGAGTTCCAGCTGTTCCTTGCTAGATGTGGTGCATTCAAAATTAACGGGAAAATTGTAAACGTCTTAGTAAATCATCAAATATTAATTCAGCAATTGCTGTGAAAACACAAATGCAAAAAAAATTATTGTTAAATAATGGGAAATAGGTCATCAAGCAAAAGCTACCTTGTTTTATATTAGCAAAAAATATTTATTTTATAGAAAAAAAAACTACTTTTACTGTACATGATGGCGGCCAACTTTAAAAGCACAGTGGAAAAACCTCCTGCAATCTAATTATAAAACCCATTACTATAGCAACCACTGTGTTCTTGTGTCAACTTTGAAGAAAAGCATGCATCAAAATAACCTTAGATGCAGCAAATGGCATCTGAGGTCGTTTCTGGATGAATAAAAACTACAGGCTTAGAGGATTCATCGCACTGCTAAAGTTTGATTGTGCAACAAGAGGCAAGCTGCTCTTCTTGAGACAAATAACAGAATTTCATGTTGCTAGAGCCACCAGCACAGAGCCTGATTAACTGCGGCAGCAGAAGGAAATGACTAAATATGTATGAAAGTCCAGGAGAAAATGTTTTGAAAACTGTGACACCGAATACTTTAATTAAGTATGGACTCAATGCAAAAGACAAAGTTACATAACATACAGAAGAAAAGTAAATACAGTAAATACTAAAAATTTCCATAAATGCAATTTAACTTGGGAAATATTCATTCTCCTTTAGACTTAAGACAGATTTATTTTTGTCATTTTGTAAACACAAGTGTAAACAAAAATACATTTTGTTAAGAACAGCTCTCTAGAAAATTTAATTTTTTTTTTATGCAGCCTTGATAAGGTAAGCAGCAGTGATAAAAACATTGTGATGAAAAACAGTAATGTAAACATATGACTGTATAGTTACAGTTCATTCAGGTTTTTTTTTTTCTATAACCCATTTTAGTAAGCCAAACAATAAAAAAAGTAATACAACAAAATCTACGTTAGCAAAATGTTTAGCCAAATAAACTTTTACCGCAAACATTTTGCTGGACCACCCATCATAACATGAAATTCCAATTTTTATAATGGACCTTGAACGCAGCACCCCCATGCTCCACAGCTGTTCGCCAAACTCCATTTAAAAACTATTCAATTTAAGCCATCTCCAAAACTACAAAATTAGCTTTAAATAACCCATTTACCTTTTTATTTCTTGCACGATATATCAGCGATGTAACACGCATAATAATACACAATAGTCGCAATGATTACGGTTCATTTTGCGGCATTGTTAAAGGTACTAAAAATAGTAAAGCACTATAAATGTAATGCACATTAATCCATTGTATACGACTTTTAAGCCGATTTAGTCTTTAGTCCAAGCAGATCTCTAAATTCAATATTCAACTCGCTGCGTTAATTGGCTTTTAGATACCAACGTTGATCTGCTACAATCAGCCTGTATCTAGTGAAGTTCGGCGAAGGGGAAAAAATATAATAATGAGTTAACCTGCTCCACAGCCTCTACAGTATCTATGCTGGATCCAGAAAAGGCTGAAACACCTGGTCCCTGCATACCTGCTGTCCATGTGCTACAGAGCAACAAGCTTCCAACTCTCACTAACCTCCTGTTAGCATGACTTCTAGCTACATTAGCTTTACCTTTATCCCACGGAGAATCCTCACTCTGTCCTCATCATCCACGCCGAAGGACACTTTCCTGGTTGTACTCTCCCCCGAACCCATAACTCACTCAATCACCTGATAGTTCACTTAGTACTTGGAAGCTAAACGTTGTAGAGACCATGAAACAGTGTTTATGTCCTGCCCAATGACAGAATGGGTGACACAGATGGGTTAGGGTTGCCAGGTTGGTTTGAAATGTTCCCCGTTTGGTTAGGTTTCCAACCTGAAGGATTGTTTTTTTATCAATAATGTAATCTAATAAAGTTCTGAAATAAATATGCTAGGAAAAAACGAAGATTTCTATTGGATGAAAAACGACAAAGGATCAAATTTAGACTTGTTTTATTATCATATTATACCTCAAACTGGCAACCCCGGTCACTTATGGCCATTGGTGGTCCAAAGTTGCATGTGGGCCCTAATTGTGAATCTAAACTTAATTACAAGTTATCTCAAATGAATGTAAAGTGCGAAACATCTGGAATCGGCTAATTATGGCAATGAATATATATAGTAAGTAAGTAATATTTATTTATGTAGCACCTTTCACAGACAT